GAGAGAAGAGAGAGAAGAGAGAGAAGAGAGAGAAGAGAGAGAAGAGAGAGAAGAGAGAGAAGAGAGAGAAGGGATTGGAAGAAGAGGCCTGAGACAGAGAGGAAGCGGCATGGTCTAGTCCTTCCCGGCATCTTTCCAAGTACCTAGTAGTCTCCCTAGCTGATAACAGTACGACTATGCCTCGGGAAACCACCAGTTGCTATATCACTTATGTGATTGAGTTCAAACCATGATTTCCCACATCCATTGCAAAATTGATGATCTCTACGAGAAAATGCCCCATATTTGAATAAGCGAAGGAGATTTGGAGTCAGGAAAAGCGCACAAGCGATGAATCAAAACCCATCCATCAGATGAAAGGTGTTTCCCTACTATTCTTTATTTCGACGCAGCACTAACCATTGGTTTCTGATAGCTTTGAGCAGTATCTTTAATGCAGACGACACCTACACGACCCACGAACCCTTGGTGACAGGCCCCATCACAAAGAACTGCACAGAAGACATCCACCCGTGAGCGACCCGACAACCTCAACACACACAACACACATCGTCCACCACACCTCGCTACTCAGGAAACATGAGAATGGAAAGTAGATGAGCAGACGTGATCTACGGAGCCCAAAGCACACCTCTATAGCCTTTCCAAGAAAGCGCACCATCCCAGACTTTTTATATACTCACGGTCATCCGACGAACGGCATCCTATACCTAAACGCTGTCAATCTAAGGTCCGCACTCACATCGATGTAGTCAAGACTAAGGTAATCCATCCCAACAACCCTGAGACAGCCATGCTCACGAACTTGAGACAAACCTCTCCGGACCCATTTCGTGATCCAAGAGCCCATGAGATCCCAGAACGCTTGCTTACCCACCTGCAGCTGCACGAACACCGTTGCCACCTGGGAAATAATAAGCCCAACCCAGGACTGCGACTCCCCCTTGGCTGGTGAGCAGAACTGTGTCCCGGAGACTGCTCCTCAGTCATACTGAACTACTAGAGTCTGGACCGAGCTTCGACCCTTGCAGGCAGCAAGGGGTACAGTGACGACCTGACCTTTGGGTCAAGTCATCTAAGCACTTGAGCAAGCCTAGAACACGTTATCCCAGTCAGTCCAAAATGTTCTGCAAAGGTAAAGAACGATACTGGCCAAGACTAGCCTTCGACTGTCGTGACTCCCTGCATGTTGGTTTGTTTGAAGCATATGAAGCATATGAAGCATATTTATCCGTCCTCCACACCAACTGATCGAACTTTGTATCATCACAAGACTATGCAACACAAAAGAAGTTGATGCTGGCAAGAGACCGAGCTAAGGGGGCAATAGTTGCGTCTTGTGACCTTGCGATCTTCGCGGATGAGGTGAAAGGAGTGTTGAAATGCGTGTAAGGCCACTGCTACTGCATTGACAATGCACTGGAAAATACTTGAACAGCAATTCAAATCAATGAATAGTCGTAAAAATGCTTCGTCCTCTTAGGATACATCAACAGTAAGAATAAACACATCTTAAAGGTCTCGGGAGACTTTCTCATTCCAGAGGAATAACAGGGACATGATAGGCGAACTGGTTGGTCGGGTCATATATAGCCTTGAGAGCCCAAAGCTTCTCCAAACGCCATGGCTCGTGCCCATAAACTTGCTCTAGGGGCTCGTCACCAAATGCATAAGTGACATGTGCACTGGGTAGCCGGTCTGGCTGGCCATCGATAAAGAGTTCACGAATATCATGAGCAAGCTGCATTGCCGGCTCATCAAGATTGGAATCCGGAGCATGCGTTATTGTGGTAACTCTGTATGACGATGATGTCAGCTTTCACCCTCTAGTAACATTAAGCTCAGATACGAGAAATGAACGGTCGTACTGATTAATGTAATCATGGCGGTGCGGGAAAGCCGAAGTCGCTGGGTCAATCGCCTTGACAGCTTGGACGGAGTATCCTTCGAACAAGACAAAAGATGCTGGCCGAAGTTCTGTATACTTCTTCAGCCTGGCATCAAAGAGATCATAGACCTGGCGGCATGCAGATGTGTTATAGACTTGTAGCCCAATGGTAGATGCCTTCTTTGCAAATCCTTTCGCACAAGTTGAGTCGAGGTTACCATTTCTTGAAGCCAGGGGCATGTCAGGATAGGGCACAGTCCCGTCGGTGACATTTATCGGGCCGATAGCATCAAATGGAGCCAGGTACTTCTCTGCATCGATCTGCGGACCAGCATAGTTGAAGGTCCAGTAGAGAATCACCTTGTAGACGTCAGAAACCGAGTCAGAGGTATAATAGAGATACTCAGCTCACGTCAGTGTCGCTGAACAATGGGTTAAATTCATAATGGCCATAATCAACGTCCATTTCCACCGGTTGCGACCCGTTGCGAGCTACTACTTTGTTCAGTTGCTCGAAAAAGGGCTCAAGCTTATCTTGTGTGAACACGTAATTTCGAAAGTACCAAGTATCCTCCTCGTGTGGATAGATCCTCATCTCGTAGCTGGTCACTATGCCGAAATTGTGCCCGGCACCCTTCATGGCCCAAAACAGGTCCTCATGGCTGTCTTCCGAGACTACAACTGTAGTTCCATTGGCCAGCACGACATTCAGTCGAACCATGTTGTCGAGCATCAAGCCATAGCGCGTTTTGTATCTTCCGTGACCGCTTCCAAGAGCCTGTCCAACTATGCCTGCACACGAGCTGGCTCCGGTAACTAGAAGAGAAGACGATTTAGCCGCATGAATTGATAATGCGACAGACTGGCTGTGACGGACCTGTAACATAGCCTTCTTCCCACAGCGCGTCGATCAATTCCTGGGTGGCCGTTCCCGCCGATACACGTGCAATCTGCCTCTCTCGATCCACCACGATGTCGGTCAAGAGCTGGACGTCAATGGCCATACCCCGGAACTTCCCTTGCGATTTTGGTAATCCATAGCCGCGGTTGACCGTGTAGAAAGGAATGCCATTTTGATAGGCATATTGAACCTTTTCCAGGTCAGTCAAGAGATTTGGATCAGCAAGAAAGGGGGAAAAAACACCTACCACTGTAGAAATATCATCTTCACAGCCGACCTGAACCCAGACAGTGAATTGCGGGGCCATATACTCCTGAAACCTGATCACTCGCTGCGGCCATCGAGGATCATCCGGGCCAAAGATATAAGAGGATCCGCAGAGTTGTGGGCCGAGCTCGAGTTGTATCTCGAGAGGTGTCAATTCTGCACGCGTCATGACACAGTATTCATCGTTGCAGCCGGTCAGCGGCACCGCCTGTCCGAATGGCTGCAACAACGTGAGGATGAGCGTGAGCAAAGTGATAACGTGGAACATGATGACTGAATCGATATGACAAGTGTAATGGAGGGGTAAGTCATATGAGAGTGTGTGAGTTGGGGAAAATCGAGTACGAGATTCTGGGACAAGGGATTGTATAGACGAGTGAGTCTCAAACCATCCATATGAGGATGGTGCAATTCTCATAGGGAAAGAACTCAACACACCTACCGAATGCTACTTCCACGACTTGTTCCATAGTAAACAGATATTCAGAGTGAATCACGGTTACTCCTCGAGAAGGAGCATCTGATCTGATGATTCCGTTTACAAAGGTAGGGTCTTAGGGCTAAAGTTATTTTTCTTGAGACTTGGTGTCATGTGTGTGGGTTATTGAACATGTCATCGTCTCTATGGACAGAGGTGGTAAATAGCAACCTTGATTGTTGTAGAGCGCTCTGCCACTGTCTTTCCGAAGATCTCAGATTGCTTGCTGCCCGTTCATAACTACTACCAAGTAATCGGTATGGAAATACTCATTGTCGAAAACAAACATCAAAACAAACATCCAAAGCACAGACCGAGCCTTGTCTCAAGTCCGGATCTTGTCTCCCCGACCAAGCTGACAGTAGAATTCTTCCCAAGTACAGTACATCCAGTGCATGCAGCAAGATGAGTAATTGATGAGGCCGAATGCGCAAAGCCATCCTTTCCTATCGACATGAAACTGACCTCGAAACTGACAACACCCTGCCTCGGTCCGTTGCCGCGATGTGGGGTACTGTATAAAACCGGACGCAAGTGGTCCCCTACACAATTACGTCACACACCCTCCCGCACCGACCCTCTCGGCCTCACAAGCGGTTGATCATCCAAAACACGCCCTTCGTACAGTAAAACATCTAGAAAGTCCTCCATGAAGGATTCTGATCAAGCCACTTAGCTCGGTGGCTGGCCGCACTGAGGGGCATTCGTCGAATGGATTTCAGGGACGAAAAGGTTTATCGTGACCTCCCAAGGCAACATGATACTTTGTGTCTGGAGAACCAAAACAAACAATGCATGCGGCATGAAATGATGGTATTCTTTATTGATCTCGGAGTGTTGATCATTCCTGAATGCTTGCCCGGAAGCCCCACTTTACACACGAGAAATAACTGATCGCAAATACGATGCCCACGAGGAGGAAAACCTGAGCCAAAACCAGGACCGCTGCTTCAAGGGCTTAAGAATAGGAGGCTTGGCGCGCTCCACTTGGGACTTTTTGAGCGGTAGTGTAGCTGTTTCTACAGAGCAAATCATGCAAGTGTGCAGAATTTGGAACGTTTTTGTTCGAAAAGAGCGGTTGGAATGATCGAGACAGTATACAGGGATGAGGCTGCTGCGACAAAGCTACTCATAGTGAACATACAAAGACATCAAACCCGTCGCCCTTGGAGGCTACATGTTCCTCTTCGTTCGCTTCTGGCTACCAAGTCAATAGAAAGTGTCGGTGTAGTATGGCCCATGGGACTGGGAAAACCTCCCCGAATGTTGGGCCAATACGGGAGTACGAAAAGGTCCTGTTCGGTATCTAAACAGACAAGTAGGAATCTACTGAGAAAATATTTGCTAGTAGAGAATCTCATGATTGTGTGGATATCATAGCCAGCAAGAATACATCATGTCATGTCTCTATCCGCTCCTGCATGATGGCTTATTGATACATACATGATAGATTGGTATCTCGCGTCGGCTCTCAATCGGGTGTAACACGGCGGAGCAATTGTCTGACCCGTACTCTTGGGTATGGGATAGGTAAGGAGAGTCGTCCCATGCTAATCGGTGGTTCAGAAACTGAACTCCGGCGTACTATACATATGTTTGTTGAGAATTAGTTCTATTAGGTGGATGCACAGTGACTAATCATGCATTAGGTCCTTGCCTCCATGCAACCACAATTTCTGGACTTGATGAAGAAGCTGTGACTGTAGGGAGAGGGATAAATAAGTCTAGGGTGCATGACGAATGAACGATCAACAAGAGCTGACTCCAGATAGGCTGCGTAAGATGCGGAGTAAGACCGGCCAATTCATGGAGGGTGGTTGCGATTATCCCCAGGTTTCGGGTTGTCCAAATTGGGTAACCCGAGGTAACGCATGGATGGGGAGGACTGGGTCGGCCACAACCGAATGGTTCGACTATGGAGGTGGTGAGAAAGTGCCCTGACCGCGGTCTCTCTTGGCAGTCAATTTGAGCTGGCTAAAATAAGGCTACAAGAGCATGGCTCCCCTCAAGTGTGCGCGCTTTTTGCAACGGCACAAGAATTGAGGAAGTAAGCCAGGAATGGTGGCTTTGGCCTATGATCATCGATGGCCAGTCAAAGGTGCGGGTTGCGAAGACTTACTTGCCGTCCCCCTTCCCGTCAAGTCGGCAGTTGCCACGGTCAATTGGTTTTGAGGCATACATACCAATTGTGCCGGTTGCATCCCCGAGAGTTTTGGAATATGTGGTGAGCCCTAGATAATTGAGATGTGCCACTGGATGATCTTGGAAGTGTTCTTTGAGAACTTCGAAGGTGCCGTGGCACTGACTGCTCTTGCATCAAGTTTGGCCGATTCTTCGGGCGCGGGCTTTCGGCCCATCTGGGCAATTCTTCCAGCATCATCGGCAGGACCGGGCGGCCTCAACTGGAGGCGCCCCCACGGGGGTTCCTTTCTCTTTCCAATTCCCAGGTAAATTATGATGCTGTTGGCTGATCCCAGGTTAATCTCTCGCCGACTGATCAGGCGACATTGTTACTTGCGGTTGGTTCGTTGTTTAGAACAGGCTCTCACTAAGCGGCATCCCGCGTCCTAGGTGGCCCGGGTGGAGCTCCGTCCTCACTGCGATTGGAGCGCATGTGGTGGACGAGTGTAACAGAATGACTGATGCTGGATTATATTCGCCGACTGAAATCGACAAAAGAGACAGGTCGGCTTGGAGAGGATCCGATCGGGACTAGTCAGCAATGAGACGGGCTTGGGGGTTCTGTCGACGATAATATTACGGGACCAGGATAAGACAGCCGGCCGCCTGCATGAGCCTCCGTCGAATACCAAATGCTTCGCTGTAGGTTGTGGTCGCTGTTAGAATCAGAAGCGAATGAGTGGTTCTAGGCCATCAATCCAAATTTGCCCCCTCCTTGGTTGGAATTCAAGTGTTGGCGACGCAAGGGAGAAGAGATTCAGAAAACAGAATCGACAGCCACGAGGCGGATCGAGCCGAGGCCCTTTTGGATCCTTTCCCAAAGCGGTAAAGCAAGAGTGCCTCAGGGCTTTGCGGAGTTCTCCAGACCCCCGGATTCTGAATCATCAGTCCGTCCTTCTCCTCAGCAATCATCCCGAGTCCCGAATTGAGGGGAAGAGGGGTGAGAGGAGGCCCACGGTGGGTATCATGATTCATGGCACCTTACGGCGTAACATAACTTGAACCCTCCGAGTTGACACTGGTCAACTGAGCAGGGAAATGACGATTAGAGCCCCGATCGTTGCCTTTTCCTGCTTTTCGAACCACGCGGATGGAACCAACGAGAGAAGGTGACACCCTCTCCGATCGGCGTTGCTGCATCGAAGCCTTCTTTCCTCTCTTTCTGATTCCTACTGAACGCTTCGAGGGATTAATTGGCACTGTAACGTGTACAGGTGGTCAGTCATCCAAATTAACACAACATGGCGGTCGGTGGGTGGCTACTTGCCCGACTGCTTCCAAAGTCAAGTTTGTTCGGATTGACCAAAAAGAGCTAGACAGACAACGTTTCCAGTCTCCAGGGGCTGTGATGACGGCATGCAAATTAACTTAATGTTATTTCTACAGTACTAACTACTAGTCTTACATGCGCACCAAAGTCCAGTGCTCTCACTCATTGACTCCCCGCCTGGCACTAACCAAGCCTGATCAAGCCGCTCCCCGCCGATCACTGCACCGCCCGCACGACCTGATGGTCAGCCATTTCACTCTCTGCCAACATCTTCCTCGACTTGTGGAATGAACCCACCGAGTCAGTCTCACCTTTTGGCCTTACCACCTCTTCGCCTCTGGCGAGGGGTAAACAAGGGGAAGGTATGAGCTGAAAGACCTAGACAGACAGTTCGTCAGTCAGTCTGTCTGTCAGTCTGTCAACCCAGCAGGCGGGGAAAATGCACCATCATCCAAGATCCCAACTGGAATCCATTCTGGCCTAGACCAATCACTCTTGCTCTTGCATACCAGCATCTTGATCGTTTTCGTCCGTCTGAATCAATGCCCCACCACCTTTTGAAGGACTGACAATGAATGGATGTTTTGCTTCAGATGGATGAGAACCCCGGTTTCCTCCACTAGCGAATGGTCCTAGTGCATCTGACCTCCAGCGCGGATCCACTTTTCCCTAGGAGGTACAGTACAACCGTACAGTACAGATTACTGCATACTTCAATTGTTGTTGTCTGGAGAGTGCGACCAGGAGTACTACGTTATCCAATCACTCTCGATTGGCAAAATATCGGTACCTCGAAGCACTTCCAAGACCAGTCTGTCTAAGGTATCCAGCACTTGGGTTTAATTTTCCATGCGCCGGTAATTATGACCGCCGCCCGTCATAGCCAATTTATCCCATGCCTCTTGCTGGTTTAAAACCCCATCCATCGCCCCTGCAACTGTCGAGATGATCTTTCTTTTCTTTGATTATTGTTCCTTTCACTCGATCTTCTCCTTCCTTTTTACCTCCCCGTCCGTTCAATGAATTCTAGATCTTCACCGACCTGAACCTGGATCCAATTCTTCTCTCACCCCCACAAATCCGTATCATTCATTTTCTAGAAAGTCGTCATCAGCGAAGGGAATTCATTTCACCAAGATGGCGCGTAGCTACTTGGGCCTCACAGGAGGCAAGCTGCAGATCGCGATCAGTTTGATTGCTGGTTTGGATTTCTTGCTCTTCGGATACGACCAGGGTGTCA